TGTGGATTTCACCTCTATCTTACAGCATCTCTTGTGGATTTCACCTCTGCAGCATCTGCCCAAAATACCCCCTTCTCTCCTCTGATATCCCCACCCCTCTGGTATAGGTCCTTATCACCCCATGCCTGGACTGTGGCAATAGCTGCTGGGGTGGGGTGGGAGTGCCTGCCTCAGGTCTCACCCCACTCTGCTCCATCCTCCATTCATCCACCAAGTGGACTTTCCTCAAGCTCAGGTCTGAGTATGTCACCCCACCCCCTACTCAATAAACTCCAGTGGCTTTCTTTCAGGACCAAATATAATGTCCTCTAATATTAATTACAGAATTTAATAGTTGGAAGGGGGCTGTCATCAGACAGCTAGCCTAAGACATACTCAGGAATCCCAGTGATAATTTTATCTGGCAAATGGTCATCCAGTCTCTGATTGAAGAGTTCCAAATCATTGATTAAAAAACAAAAAACCAACAGCACACAGCCAAGGACAGATCCCTGGGGCCCTCCACCACAGACTTCCTGACATATTAATATTGAACCATTAACAACCTCTTTTTGGGTCCCTCCATCCAACCAGTTTAAATCTTCACTGCGTCATTGTCTAGCTTGCCCATCCCTATGTATTCCACAAGAACAGAATGAACTACTTTTCACAAAACTTTTTAAAATTGCAGGCAAATTCTATGATGTTTCCTCAACTTTAAACGTAGCAGTCCTGCCAAAAAATGAAGTGCAAAAATGAGACATCAGCTTTCAAGGCTGAAAAGTGCTTTAGGGGCAGCTAGGTGGCGCAGTGGATACAGCAACAGCTCTGGAGTCAGGAGGACCTGAGATCAAATATGGCCTCAGACACATAACACTAGCTGTGTAACTCTGGGCAACTCAACCCCAAATGCCCTTCCCCCCCCAAAAAAAGTGCTTTGACATACAGTTGGTACTGTGATAATTCCCATGTGACAGATGAGGCTCAGGTTAAGCCAACTGTCCTTGGTGACATAGAGAACCTGGAGTCAGGAAGACCCAAGTTCAAATTCTGCTCCAGACTATCAGTGTGACCCTGGAAAAGTCACTTAATCTCTGTCACTTCCCCAACTATAAAATGGGGATAATAATCCCGGAGTTGTGAGGATCAAATGAGATGGTATTTGTTTGAAAGTGCTTGGCACACAGTAGGTGCTTAATGCGTGTTTCTTGCCTCACTTGTTCTAACACTACCCCCACACATATACTCACACCTCATCTCTAAAGTCCAAATTCATCTTAACACTAGGACGGGGCAGGAGTTGGGGGGTGGATAGCCACCAGAAACAGGGCCAATGGCCCAGCAGGCACTTTCGCGCACGTCCACTAGGGAGAGTGAAGAGTCTTGGCTGCGACAGGACACCGAGGGGCTTCCTTGGGACCCCATCTTCGCCATCAAACACCGAATTAGGTGACCAAGACAGCTAGTGCCAGAGGAGGCCTTGAAACTTGAGCAGGGCCTTGAAGGCTGCTCCAGGCGTGCTGGCAGGCTTGTGAGGCCAAGATGTGGGGTGGGGCGGACTGCCCCCTCATCTCCTGCAGGGCCCCTCGCTCGGGAGGGGATGGATGGTATATGGAGTCTGTCAGGCTCGGCGGGGCTCTCTCGGAGCATGCGCACAAGCCTCCCTACTGGTCCCCACGACGTTCCTCAGTCATCCTGGCCAACCCAGGACATGTGACAGGCCAGGGTCGGGATAGGGAGGGTCGGAAGTGTGGAAATCAACACCGGAAGTCGCAGTTTCTGAACCTTGCCCGCCCTCCAGCTACAGAGGCCCAGCCTAGCTCTGATCCTGAGGGAGGAGGCCAAGGTGGGTCCTCTAGGAAGGGAGGTGAGGTCGAGGGGGAGGGGGGGAAGAGGGCGGGGCTTCAGACGCCACGTTTGGAAGGTGAGGCGCTGGCTTCTCGCCATGCCCCTCCCCAACCAACGCACTCATTGGCCTGCTTCTGGGGGCGGGGCTGAGCTATCATCCAATCATTAGGTCGCTCCATCCGTATCAGAGGCGGGAGTTGAGGCCTGGCCAGGCAGCGTGCACGTGGTGGGGCCTCGCTTAATCCTCCCCCTCCCCCCTCCTCCTAATCATCTCTGAAGTCAGAGTACCTGTGACCTAATTCCATTTTCCACGTGCCCCATGTGATTGTGGGTAAGTCATTTTCTCTCCTTAGTCCTCAGTTTCCTGCTCTGTAAAATGAAGTGTGCCAAATAAACCAGGTGGCCCCCAGGACCCTCCCAGCTCCAGGTCCACGGCCGGTAATCCTGTGTGTTCCTTCTCCATTTGGCTGGACGTTGATGGAGAAAGTCCTACAGCAGAACTGCTTGGGTTAGTCAGTCAGCTAATAAGCCTTTATTGAGCGCTTTCTGTGTGTCAGTCACGTGCTAAGGGCTGGAGATGCAAAGAGAGGCCAAAGTCGGAGGTTGGGGATGCAATGGATAGACTGTCCGGCCTGAAGTCAGCGAGATTCATCTTCCTGAGTTCAAATCCAGCCTCAGACACTTACCAGGTGTGTGGCCCTGGTTTGCCTCAGTTTCCTCATCTGTAAAATGAGCTGGAGAAGGAAATGGCAAACACTCAGTGTCTCTCCCAAGAAAACCCCACGTGGGGTCACGGGGAGTTGGACACAGCTGAAAGGAGTGAACCGCAGCAAAAAGTCAGTCCCTGCCCCTCAAGGAGCTCCCGTTCCAGGAGGAGCGGGCGAGCCCACAGCCACTACACACAAGCAGTGTACAGGGCGATGGCAGAAGGAAGGCTTCCTGTAGGAGGTGGGATTTCAGCTGGGACTTGAAGGAAGCCGGAGAGGTCATCGGTCAGAGTGGAGGAGGGAGAGCGTTTTAGGCAGGGGATGGCCAGAGAGGATGACAGGACAGCCAGGAAGCCCGGGTCAGTCTTGTCCGGACTGACCTCCCTGGAGCTCGTCAGGGTCAGACCTTTGGTGGCTGAATGGAGGATGGCCTGGAGCCTGGCAGACCCCCAGCCCCTCTGTGGTCGAGTCTCACAGCGGGGAGCCGGGCCTTTGTCTCCCGAAACCAGTCTGTCTGGCTCTCTCCTGCAGCTGCTGCAAATGGTCTCTGCCCTGGTGTTCAGCTGCAGCCCCTTCTTGCGCCCTCCCAGCCCGGACCCTGCCTCACGGCTTACTGAAAAATCAAAGCCATCTCAGTGACGTCGTGCTTGTCCCCGAGAGGAGGGGTCTCAGCAGCCATCGTGTGGCCGGCAGGGGTCCAGGCACCCTGAGAAGCCTCCCCAGGGGTTAGCCCCCTCCCCCACCCCCGAGACAGCAGGAGGAGGAGGTCCAGAGGGTCGCTGGTGCATGCCGGCCTCTAGCACCAGACCTGTAACCTTTACCCAGAGAAACTCCTCTTGTCTTTCTCTCCCATATCTCTCCCTGTGTCTCTCCGTCTCCCGTGTCTCTCTCCCCCATCTCTCCCTGTGTCTCTGTCTCTCTCTCCCTCCCATGTCTCTCTCTCCCCGTCTCTCCCCGTCTCTCCCTCTGTCTCCGTCTCTCGTCCGTCCCGGCAGCCGTGGGCACCTCTGGCTCGCGTCCAGCCACCCCTTCTCGCTCCAGGCTGCCGCCCCCCCTCTTGCCCTCGCCCCAGCCCAGCGGCTGCGAGGAGGACGGTGGCCATTTCCGCGGTGCTTTCCCATTATTGACTCTCTAATCTTCACAACCAGCCGGGGGCAGGGCTTTTGATAATTTTACAGATGAATAAACTGAGGCTGAGGGAGGTTGGGCGGCTGACCTCGGCTCATGGGAAGGATCTGAACTCGGGTCTGCTTGGAATCTTTCTCTTCCTTCCAGCTGGTCTCGGGTGTGGCCTTTGCAGATCCCTCCCCTCCCCAGACTGCCTTGTGGTTACGTCTGCGGCAGACTAGAAGCCCCTTGAGGGCAGCTGGGCGCGGGTGCCATCGGCCTCACGGTTCCCTCTTCTTCCCCAGCTCTGTCTTCGGAGAGCGGGCGAAGCGGCCATGGCCCTAGCGCTTCTCACGGACGGGCCTCTGCAGGTGAGCAGGGGGCGCTTAGCCCTTTGGAAAGCAGACGCGGATGCCTCTCCGCGTGCTCCTGTGCCCCTGTGCCGCCGGGCATTCTGCGCACGCCCTCGGCATCAGAGGCCTGGGCCTTGGGCTCCTCCCCCTGCCTGGGGCCCAGCAGCCCCCGATGTCCCGTCTTCCGAGGCACAAGGAGCCTCTGGCCGGCCCCCGGGGTGCGTTTGGCACGTTTGCCCACATTCCTAATTCCATTGAGAGCCCTGGGATCCAGCGTTGTCCTTTTTAAGGGTCTCCCCCAGGGCTTCGCAATCAGGAGCCCAGCCCGGTTGGGCACCATCCCAGGGGCCCCCAAGTGCCCGCCAGAACATTCCAAGCAGGCCCTTCGTCCCTTTGGCAGTTTTTAGACGGTCCCAAAATGACAGGGGGAGGGATGAACGCCGGGGCAGCTGGTGGGCCCTGAGTACAAGATCTGTGCCAATTCAGCACACTGCCAGGCCACGCCGAGCACCAGAAACATTGCCCCCACCTTCCACTTCCTCTGTGGGGCCCTGCCCGGAGGCCGAGCCTGACCCAGGCTGGTCTGGGAACTCACATGGCAGACTGCCGTGAAAGGAGGCCCTCCCTCTCTCCCAGCCTATACAAGCTAAGTCTACTTAAGCATGGCAGGGAAGGAACGTTTCTCAAGGATCCTCAGACGTTGACTCAGGTGGGCCATGCTGGTCACCCTCGCTTCAGTGACCTCCTGACCAATGAAGACAGTCACCTTCAGTGTTAAGTCTAGCAGGCGTGAGGTAGGCTTTACTCTTGCTATCCTAAGAAACAGACCCGTATTCCCCAGGCTGCACATTAGGACAACACTCTCCAAAGACAGCGTGGCGCCTCCCAGGACGGTGTCCCCAGCCAGGGGAGTCCTCCAGAGCGGTAAGAGAAGCCGTAAGCCACCATGGCGGGGGAAGAACCACAGGACGACTGCTTCCTGAGACCCTGCTCACCTTCAACAAACACTTGTCTTTCCAGATGGACAGTTCTCAGAGTGGGGCAGCCAATGAGGGCACGGAGATGGGGAGAGCTCTCAAATCTTTGACCTAGAAATGGGACAAAGGAATGACAGCCTCAAAAAATGTCCCCCCTGCCAGGGGTGGATGCGCCGGTCACTACAGAAAGTGGGGATGCTATGGACTGCAGAAGAAAATGCAGACCAGACTATCAGGTGGGGGGGGGGACAAAGGAACAATTCTTGGAGAAGAGGGAATGGGGGTGGAGAGTGCAAGCCCCACGATTCAGTGGGGGGGAAAAGAGAAGGGTCGGAATCGCTCACAGTTTAATAAAGAGCATAGCTATCAAAATAGATCAATTAGAATTAATTAAGAGAATTGAGCACTTAAAGCAAATTGCAAGAACTTGGGATAGGCTGGGTAAATGGAAACTAGGCTAGAGCCAGGGAGACTAGACCAGCATAAAATGAGTTGTCGTTAAGTAATCTTATCACGTCCAATTCTCTGAGACCTCATTTGGGCTTTTCTTGGCAAAGATACTGGTTTGCCATTTCCTTCTCCAGATCATTTTACAGATGAGGAAACAGAGGCAAAGAGGATTAAGTGACTTACCCAGGGTCACACAGCTTGAAGTATCTGAGGCTGAACTCAGGTCTTCCTGACTTCAGGCCCAGCACTGTATCCTCTGCCACCTAGGTGCATAAATTGGCCCTGACTTAATAAGGCAAGGAGATAGTCATTATGTAACAGATAAATGGTGGAAAACAAAAACCTACCAACCCTAATTTTAAGTGGGAATAAGTTAAATAATCCAGGGGAACGATAGTGGCAGGACATTAAGCCAAAAGCCAACCCAGGAAATAGCTGACAATCAAGGATTACAATGAAGATGTGGCCTCCAATCTCTTGGGGAAGGGCACGTCAGAACCGCAGCCTGAGGGAGACCAAGGTAAACCAGGAAAGGAGCCAGAAGAGGAACGTGGCCAGTGAACTTAGGCATTCAGAAAGGGCAAGGGAACAGGATTGCTAAGTCCATTCCGCCACTGATGTAGTGTAGGCAATGGGAATGCGAAGGGAAGAGCTCCTCCCCTCTAAGGTAGACACAGGCTTCAGTGAGGCTGTTCTGTTCCGCCCTCGAGCAGGAAGATAACCAAAGGAGGACCTGTTGGACTGATAGGGTGTACTTTGAATGGTTCTTAAAGAATGTGCATACTGCTTAGCACCATGTGGCACTCGACCACAAGAGCCTTGTGCTAGAGAACAAAAACAAATGTAAAAAACCAGGAACACTAAGCAAATGCTCTGCAGACCATCATGCTAAAAAAAAAAATTGATACAGAAAACAGGCAAAAGATACAGATCTAAATGGGGTTTAATATAATACCCAGAGTAAGTGGACGGGTCAGAGAACCACTCAGGCAATGCTAACTATGCAGCAGAGAATGAGAAAGATGGGAGGATGGATCAGCTGCGACCAGAATGACTGGAAAAGGCAAAGGAGGGGGGAGGGCACAAGCATTTATTAAGTCCCTGTGTTATGCCAGGCACTGCGATAAGCACTTTTTAAGTACCCCATTTGATCGTCACAACCTTCGGAGGTAGTGCTGTTTTTACCCTCATTTTACGATTGAGGAAACTGAGGCAGACAGTGACCTGTCCCATGAGGTCCCACATCTAATTAAGTGTCTTGGGCTGGATTTAAACTGCCCTCTTTCTGGGCACTGTGGTGCTCCCTCAAGGCCTCATGGAGGCGGAAGAGAAGGAAGGACGGAGTGCAGAGTGGCTGGGTGGCCATCAGAGGACCCAGGGACGGTGATGGGGGCCCCAAGAGGAGAACTGTAGCTTTTCTCCTGGGCTGGGGCCCTGGGAGCTCCCCTCCCCCACAGACGTGTCTTGGGTGTTTCAGGAGCCTGTGACTTTCCAGGACGTGGCCGTGGACTTCACCCAGAGGGAATGGGGGTGCCTGCAGCCCACCCAGAAAGCCCTGTACCGGGACGTGATGCTGGAGAACTACAGGAACCTGGTGTGCCTGGGTAAGGGCGGCTGCCCCAGGGCCTCAGAACGGGAATGGGGGCTGCCTGGAGGGCAGAGGCGTCCTGGTCTGTGCAGAAGGCTGTCCCAGGGAACACCTTTGGTGGCCACATCGAGGTGTGGTCTCCGAGTTTGTTCACTGTGGTCAGGTTCTCTCCCGATGTCTCCACCTTCAGCAGGCTCTGGTCCCAGGACCTGCCGCTTCCTCCTGAGCTCAGACGTGCCCCATCTTTCCCACACGTCCTTCGGGCTCCCCTGTGTCACTGTCTGGGCCTTCCTAGGGAATCCTGCCATGAGGACTGAGGACGGAATGCTGAAGGAAGTACTTTTGCATTTCCATTGAACAGGCCTCGTGTTCTCCAAGCCCTGGGTAATCTGCCAGCTGGAGCAGGGAGACACGCCCTGGGGGCCAGAGGGTGATGCCCCTAGAATCAACAATGCAGGTGAGCAGATCGGGGTGCGCCACCCATGGAGTGCGCCACCCATGGAGTGCTGGGCAGCTGGCCTGGGGGAGGACTTCTCAGCACCCACTGGCCACCTCCCGAGACCCTCCAGGCTCAGCCTGGCAGGGCTCCCACCCCCCTTCCTAGGCTGGCTTGTTACCTCCTGAGACCCCTCCCTATCTCTCCACTCTCATTTTTCAGAAATTTGCTTCCAACTTTGTAGGAAGAATTCTTTCATTGTTCAGCCTTAGGCGTGCCTACCTTCTTTACAAGCCGCTCTTCCCAGACCTCTGTTTTCTGGTCATGAGGTCACTGCCTCTTCTCTGCATTATTGCATAGACTCTTATCAGCTTTCCTGGATGCCTCATCCTTGTTCTTTTTAATCTAGGGATAGGACCTCATTGTACAAATGTACCACCCTTTGATCATTCCCTTATTGTCCTCCTGGGGGTGCTTCAAGTTTGGGGTTTGGGGCTGTCACCAAGGATGTTGCTTTGAAAATCTTTGTAGAGCCAGCTTTTCTTAAACATTGGTCAACGCTCTGTTCGCTGCCCTGATCTTGGGACAAAGGGCACGGTCCTTTGGGTGACTCTCACTATGGACTGCTAGGTCACTTCCAAAAAAGTCACTGCTATGAGTTTGCCAGGGGTGCAGCAAGGAATGCTGGATGGCATAGAATTCTTTGGCTTTTAATGATTTTTTCCCATCTTTGGGGGTTGAGCTAGCACCTCAGAGATGTTTAAAGGTGCATCCAGAGGTTCCCAAACTTATTTGGCCTACTGCCCCCTTTTTAAAAAAAAGTTACTCAGCACACTCTTGGAAATACCCTGTAACAGGTTTTTTTTGTTTTTTGTTTTGAAATTTACGTCATTTCAAAAAAATATAATTTTTTAAAAGACATCTTAAATTTAATAATTTATTGTAAACTTGTGGGGTTTTTCCTGCATTGAAATATTGATGACGCAATATTGTGTCACATCACCATATAGTGTCGTATTGTAAACAAGTCATGGCACACAAATATTCCTGCCGATGCACGCTGGACTTCCCAACCATGTGCACTATGGTGGCCTGCCAGCACTTGCTAGTTAAGACCTGTCAATGGACTTGACCAGTGATCGGTTATAACTTATATTTTGTGTGTTTATTTGGAAACTAATGTAATCACTTTGACTTTAACTCTGTTATACAACAGACATGTACAAACGGTTTTTCAAAATTCTCTTCTCTTCTTTCCTTCTGCTTCCACCACCCCCTTATTTTTATTCAATAACCCTCCAGTTGCACCCGAGGCTACTACCTCCCCCCTGGATCATTCCAGCGCCCCCCAGGGGGCTATATCACCCTTTGGGAACCCCTGGGTGCATCTTTCTGATTAAAAACAAGGCCAGATCAAGCCAACAACCCTTTCTTAAGTGCTTTCTCTATGCCGGGCATTGTGCTAAGCCAGGAGTGGGGAACCTGTGGCCTTCTAAATCCTTAAGTGCAGCCTTTTGACCGAATCCAGGTTTTACAGAACAAATCTTTTTAATAAAAGGGGATCTAAAGAGGCGGTCTGTGAGGCAGGCCCGGGCAGGAGGCCTGGGGTTGGGGAGGAGGACTGCAGCGGGACGGCAGGCAGGCAGGGGAAGGGGGGTCTTAGAGGACTGGGGGGCCTGGAGGAGATAGAGGGCCACAGCAGGTCACTGAGCAAGAGGGACACGGTCGGACGTGCGCTTTGGGAGAATCATTTTGGTGACCCAGGGGCACCCAGTGGCGACTGACCCAGCATGAGTGCTCATGGGAGCGAGTCCACACAGAGGCTGACCACGACGTTTGGCTTCTCTTTGGAAAATTGGCCGTTTCTATCGTGGCCATCGTCTCTCTTGCTGTTTTCGCGTCTTGTCTGTGGCCTGTATCCTCCGGCGGAGGCACGGTGAGTCGCCGTTTGGCGTATCTGAGCCCCAGCTGCTCTCCAAGGAAGCGCCTTCTCGGTAAGGCAGATGTTGCAGGAAATAAGGGGTCCCGATGCAGCCGTGAAGCCTCGCGCCTCAAATGCTATCCTTCCTGTTTGCAGGCAGCACCTCCCACCGTCTGGTGTTGTGTCTTTCTTCTTGTTTTGCATCAAGTTTGTGTTTAATTTCACTTCCTTAGAGGCACGGGGCTTGGTGGGCACAGGGCCAGCTGAGGCGTGGAGAAGACGCCTGTCTCCTACATCCAGGCTGGGTGGTTCTGCACTGGTGGAGGGCATTTCCTCTCCTGGCACTCCTGCACCAACGACCTCACAGGAGTAGCCCCCACCCCCGCCCCAGCCGCTGGGAAGCACGCCCAGGAACTGGGGCCAGGCCATAGCCCAGCTGACCCGTCAGATTCGCTCTCTTTTGTATGTTCTACGGTTCTGTTACTGAGGCTGCCTCTTAGACGTAGATGTGCGCTGTATTGTTTTGATGCCAGCAGCGTCCTCGCAGCCTGGCTGTAAGGAGGAAGGGGGCTGACGCTGGGGGAGCACAGAGGCAGCCGGGGATGGCCGGGGAGCTGGAGCCATGGTCAAGCAAGTTCGGGGATGAGCAGCCCCGTGCTGCTGGCTGTGCCAGACCGTCAGGGGTCAAGGTCAGGACCGGCCCCCTGGTGTAACAGTGAGGAAACGGGCCCACGGAACCAAAAAGACTCGTCCGCAGCATCGAGGGCTGGATTCAAACCCCTCTCCTTGGTTCCAGACCACACTGGCTCCTCAATTCCGTCATTGGAGCCGTGAGTTGTTAGAAAGAAAGCTCTTTAGAATACTTCTCTGGAGAAAGGTCTTTGCTCTTTAGAAGAACATCGTTGAGACACAGGCCTGGTAGGGCTTGGTTACTCGGACCAAGTGCTGTGCAGAATTGTCACTTCTCTGTGTAGTTTTCTGTCTGCAGCGTGACGATGCCTCCTTCCTTTTGTCCTTTTTAGCTGTCTTTTCTGATTTAGCAGGAGTATGGCCAGGGGTCCACTGTTTGCATTTGAATTTCTCCGATTGCTAGAAAGTTTGAATACTTTTTCAAGTGGTTATTGAAAATTAGTTTCTTCCTTCTAAGAAATACTGGTACATAGACACCTCAAACTGAACACATCTTCTTCCCCTTGTCCCTGCTGCTGTGTTTCCACCGTCCTGTCGGTCACCCAGGCTCAGAACCTCAGTGTCATCTGCAGCCTTGCTGTGGCCGGGGCCTGTCATTTATCCCATCACGGCATCTCTCCAACATGCCCTCACCCCGGTGCCAGCCCCATCGCTCGGGACCCGGACTATGGCAGTAGCTGCCGGCATGGGGAGGTCCACCTGCCTCAGCCCATCCTCCATTCAGCTACCAAGCACAGGTTTGGGCACGTCACCCCCTACTCAGTAATCTCCAATGGCTCCCTGTTACCTCCAAGGACAGATACAAAATGCTCTCTGCAGCCGTCTTCTGCTCCACCCTCCAGGCACTCCACACTCCTTACCTTCTCCTGGGCTTCCCTCCGAGTCGGAAGCGCTCTTGCTGCTCACCTCGGCCACTTCAAGACCCGGCCCAAGTCTCACCCTTTCCAGCCCCGCTCTGAGATCTCTTTCCATCTACCCTGCTTATAACTTGTATGAAAATAGTCTGATGCTCATGGTCTCGCCCATGGTCTCAGTGGGCTCCTGAACGCAGGGACCAGTGCCAGGCCCATGGTAAGTGCCGGATAAATGCTTGTGGATCGGCAGGCTGACCTCGGCTTCCTGCGGCTCCGTTCAGTTCTATGGGATTAGGAGCAGAGGACGAAGGCGAATGGCGCCGAGGCAGAGGAAGCAAGGCCATTTCCCCAACACTTTTCACCAAACGATTCTCTTGTCCCCGGTGTTTTGTGGTCAAACACAGCTTAGTGGTCTGCCCTTTGTCTTTGCTCTGGATGATTACTTAGGTTTCCTCGCAAGCACGCATGCACAAAGTATTCTTCTCATTAATTTCCAGGGGAGGGTTGTGGATAAAGAGCTGGCCTCCTGGTCAGGAAGACTTTCCTTCCTGTCCTGCCTCTGACACGTGATAGCCGGCCCTTGGACACACACCAGTTATGTGACCCTGGGCAAGCCGGCTCTGCAGGCATCTCCCTAGGACCGGAAGAGGCCCACAAGGGCTGATCAGATTGATAGGGGGCGTTTACTCCTCGGGAAACACCTTCTACTCACGAAATCACTGGTCCGAACCAAAAACAAGTCTAACCTGAGGTTGGTTCTTTTGGGTTTTTTCTTTGTAAATCCCACTTTGGTGTGTCCTGGGCAACGCCCCCGCTCCCTTTTTTCTCCACTGAGGCCCTATGATATTAATGCCATTTTGTCCTTCCGTGCCAATTTTGGGTACTTGATTGCTACAAAGAAGCTGTTGGTATTTTCATTGTTTCTGTAAAACTGATAAAGTAATTTGGGTAGTATTGTCTGTTCTCTATGCTTGATGTGAGAAAATCCATCAACATCTAGTTAAACTTAATCTACTGTCTCCCCTTGATCTATCCATTTCGTAATCCCACCCACAAGGAACTGAGGTTTGTTCAGCCTATCTTGTTCTTGAAGAAGTCAGGGAATCATTACTTGTCTTTCTATATGTTCACTAATCATCTTTTCAATAATAAGTTCAAAGAGAAAGGTTTTAATAAACTATAAATGACCACGTGGACATGACTGGTATTATTTGTTCTATATTTTAATGTTTGACAGTCATTTTTCTTGGTAGAGCATACAGGAGACACTGCAGGACTAAGTATAATACAGAGGAAAATGGAAATATTTACATTTTTTATTTTTTTCAGGTCAGGAGAGTAAGGCAGAAACCAAGCGATTATTTCCTAAGCTGGGCTTACATGTGGAAGAGTCATCCCAGGAGAGACTCACAATGGATGGTCCTTGGGGCTCTGAGTTGGAAGGAGACTGGAAATACAGAACGAGGTTAGAGAGTCAGCAGAACAAAGGGGAGAAACCTCATGGATGTAATCAATGTGGGAAAAGTTTTCGTTGGAACATACATCTTGTTCAACATCAACGGGTGCATACTGGAGAGAAGCTTTATAAATGTAATGAATGTGAAAAGGCCTTCCGCCAGAAAACGCAACTTACTCGGCATAAGCAAATTCATACTGGAGAGAAACCTTATGAATGTAATGAATGTGGGAAGGCCTTCCGTTGGAAGACACAGCTTAATGAGCTTAATGAGAATTCGTACTGGAGAGAAACCTTATCCTTGTAATGAATGTGGGAAGGCCTTCCATTGGAAGACACAGCTTAATGAACACTGGAGAATTCGTACTGGAGAGAAACCTTATCCTTGTAATGAATGTGGGAAAGCCTTCCGAAAGAATGCCCAGCTTATTCAACATCAACGAATTCATACAGGAGAGAAACCTTATGAATGTAATGAATGTGGCAAAGCTTTCCGAAAGAACACACATCTTGCTGATCATCAGAGAATCCACACTGGAGAGAAACCTTACGAATGCAGTGACTGTGGGAAAACTTTTCGTTGGAGCACACAACTTAGCCAACATCAACGACTTCATACTGGAGAGAAACCATATGAATGCAATGAATGTGGAAAGGCCTTCCGCCAGAGCACACACCTTACCGAACATCAGAGAATTCATACTGGAGAGAAGCCTTATGCATGTGATAAATGTGGGAAGGCTTTCAGCTGGAACACACAACTTACTCAACACCAGGGAATTCACACTGGTGAGAAACCTTACGAATGTGATGAATGTGGGAAGGCTTTCTGTCAGAATACACAGCTTACTCAACACCAGAGAATTCACACTGGTGAGAAACCTTA